GTTGTTTGTGGCTGTTTGGAACACATTTACCTCTTTGGGGATTTATGCGCTAGTTGCAATGCCAACCTCCATAGTGATAGAGATTTCTTTCTAACTAAAATAGATAATTAGAAGCTGGTAATTATTGGTCAAGAATTATCAGAGTGAAAAAAATTAAGCTCTTCATAAACAGTTCTTGGCAATGTCATCTCTTTACATTATCTCATGCCTAACAGCACTTTACTCAGAGCACTTACAAATTTACATTACTGTTGTTGAGCCTCATAATTTTATATGGAGTAATTCCTTTTCTGAGTTAAACATATCCAAACTCCCCCCAGTTCTGATCCACTCTGTATGTGCATGTGTGCAGAATCCTATGCAACTGTTACAGCAACTGTTTAGTCTATTTACAGTGAACTGCATCAGACACTACAGATGTAAAGGAATCAGTGGAAGAAAAAACAATGTCTAGCTTGTCTGCTTAAAACAACAGGGAAAATAATAGGAGTAGCAGTGGAGTGCAACAAACAGAACACAAACAATGGCAGACTCTCTTCCTACCCTCTCAGTTCAAATGCCAATTGTAAACTATGTGAGCAAAACAAAGGGATGCCAGAAAGCCTCCCTCTTTTCCGCAGACACCATACAACTAGAAATAGAATTTTCTCAAAGAAAGCTGCTAAAACGCTACATATTCCACTTGGTGGGAAAAGTAAAAGAAGGCTGCTGAAGAATTACCATGCTTGCCAGCACTTCCTCTAAACCCATATGAAAGACACCTGGATTTATGCTTCCTCCTTTCCCATGTAAAAGCTTGTTTTTTTTTTTTTTTTTTACCAACAGATTTCAATACACACACTGACAAATACGTTTTCATTTGGCAATCATCCTCACGATTATCCAAACAAAAGTACAAGCTTACATCTAGGTCCAAAATAATGCCTCAACAGAGGGCCTATTTAAAAAGTCCACAGTTTGCCTCACTTTGTGTCCACTGGCATCCCCTAGACTAAGCCTGAATCAGTGAGTAGTTTAAGGAAACACTGGCAGTGCTTGATGAAGCACAGTGTCTAGAAATGTGTGGACAGATCTGGCAGTCAGAGCTCTTGAACTTTCACTCACCTAACACGAGCAAGGAATTCCACCTCTTCGCCTCTTTGTCCTAATCTATTCAATGGAAAAGGCTTATTGCCCTATCCCATCACAAAGATGTTGGGAAGACTCAATTAAAGGCTGCAGAACAGTTCTAAAATGGGAAGTTCTAGAAGTAATGAACATGTAGGCGCTGAGAAAAGCCATCCCTATGACATCTTTTGAATACATAACTTGTATAATAATAAATGTAAATTATATTGATGCCAAAGATACTTAAGGTTACACTTCACTGGGTCATCTGCAGATTTTATTTTCCATTAGGTGACATAATCCCTCTTGTTGAATTGATTGAAACATATAATAAAATCTGTAAAAACTCTATATACCTTTCTAACAAAGAAGAGTAAGAGGCTTTTCAAACAGCCTCTAATCCCTCTTCCCCTGCTAAATGTCTAGTTGAGATTATATTTGATTAGACAAAAACACACACATACACACAACCTAAAAATATCTACCCTCAGTGGAGCTATTTTAGCCAACAAAGTAATTCTGGTTGCCTTATTTAAAAGTCTAAGTTTCACACTGGGGTTTTATAAACATATACTTTGCCTCAGTGACCTTCCATTATGCAACTTCTCTCTGTGGATGCTAGCAACACAAACTCAGTTTACATCCCAAAATCATGTTCATGGGGCACTGTAATTAGATGGGACACCATCAACTGTTCTAGGCTCCCAAACTGACAAAAAGATGGTGAGCAGCATGTTTCCCTCAGCTGTCTAAGAATGTATATCTGTCAGTGGTTCCCACCCATTTCTGAGTGGAGTTTGGCAGATACTTTCCACCTTCTGGTTTGTCCCATGTCCCAGATGCCTCCACTTTTCTCTTTTCCCTGACTTGTGATTATGGAGTCCTTCAGGTAAGAAGACACTACATCATCCATGAATAACTGCAACACAGATAATGCTAACATTTTACTGTGAGGAAAGAACTGTTCCTAGCACCGTGTGGTGATGTCTGTAAAGGCATTTATGGCCCCTACATTTGATCTAGGGATTATCACACTGTTTGACTTTCAAAGCCTGCCTTCCCAGATTACCTTCCCTCTCCCTCACATTTAAAGTCTTTCTTTTTTTCTCTCTCTCTTCCCAAAGCTTTCTCACTTTCCCTTCCCCAGAGGAGTTAAGACACTACATGGTGTTCTGCCAATCTCATACTAGGAAAGCAGGGCAAGAAGACATACTTTATCAGATACATGTAAAAAAGGGATGGACCAATGTGTTTAGGAAGCCTTTTTGTTTGTTTGTTTGGTAAATGTGCTGAGTCAACAAGTCAATATTCACTTTAGTGTTTCATCTCATATATTTTTCAGTCTACATATTGATATGCATGCAGATATCTATGGGCATATATATGGGTTATGTACTACATATATTCGCATAAATGTGTTTGCGTGCATGTTTTCTGCATTATATATGAACACTACAAGCCCACCTACAGACGCACATAAACTAAGGCCAATTTTAAATAGCTTGATGTCACCCCTTGAACCCCCCTCTCTAGACATCATACAGTCTTGGAAAAAGGTCTGTGAACAATGATATAAATTAGAGGGGAAGGGGGAGAGTGAAATTAGAAAGATAGCTAAGGAAAAATCCAATTAGTGGTGAGAAGGCCAACAGAATTGGAGATCAGAAATTATTTTTCCCTGTGCTTCGATTCCGAGGTCACATTCAAAACTCTCTGGAATGTTGATATTCCTTTCACTCCACCCCAACACAAAGTCCCCTTGCATTTGCTTAATTGAGGCTACATCATTAGGAGCTGCACTGTTAAGTCTGGCAGTGCAGATAAGAATCTTCCACTGAACACAAATTACCACAAGCATGACCAGCAAATCTCCCTGTATGTTTTGCAAGCTCCTTCTTTATTTCACTGGGAAGATTTTATACTAAGCACGTTTAAATCTGTGTCACTATGGTTATGTCATGAAGCAATACCATGCATGATTAGATACAACACAGACAAAACAAATATTTTTTAAAAGATCCTCTTTCTCATTCAACCTCATCCAGCTTTTAGAAATAAAACATTGGCAGTTAATAGCTCAGTCTAAGACAATGTCTGCCTTTTCAGATCTGCAGGTTGAAGCTAGCTAACTCGATTTGTCCTGCTTTACTGATTCTCTCCTCCTTTCTCTCCTCCCATTCTGACCCTTTACTAAAACTCACCAGAAAACTGAGAAAAAAAAAAAAAAAAGAAAAAAAAAAAAAAGAAAATCAGTATTTCATGAAAGAAGAGGGCTCCTGTTCTGAAAATGTGAGGTACTTGGGAAGTGGGTGGCAAGCAAACATGCCACTCTGCCATTCCAGCACCATCCCTTACCCACAGTGTCACATTTCAGTGTCACTATACACTACAATTAAGAACATGTCAAACACTGGATTCAAAGAAAACAGCAGAAATTGTGAGTTCTGTTGTTAATAATAACCTACTTTTAAATTCCATGTTACTGACCCAGACTGAATACTGTGAAGCAGTTCAAATTATCTCCTCCCCAAAGACATAAAATATCAAAACTAAGGCTTAATCCAACAGGCAAATCGCTTTGCTCTTTTACAAACCAGCTTGCCATTGCGTTTATTCATTTTTATGAAAAATATATAAAATGTTCATGCTCTAAATGTATTAAAACTTATTAATAAAGTACCCAGAAAAATGGGCTATTGAATTTTGGCAGGTAAGTTTCTTTTACAGTGCAGCCAAATTACTAGTGCTCATGGAAGAAATCTGCATGTCACCTTGAAAGAAAAAAAAATTATCATGTAACTAAGTATTTTTAAGTTATAAAATGAAAAAATCCAGCAAATTCTCTTCCGTTGGATATGTAATTACTGGCTTCTATACCATATGGCTTGGTCTGTTCTTTGCAACCTTTTCTGTCATTATATCAAGAAAAACAGTGTAAGGGAAGCAGGAGTATAACATGTATCATATCCATCTCTGTCTTGAAAAGTGAAATTTGGGAAAGAGGCTAAAAACAAAATGAGACAACACTGGCAATGTTATCTTATTAGTGAGCAAATGATGTGCTTGATAAATTTAATTGGCTGATAGAACTCTTAGTGCTATTACTGAGTGGTTACCAAATTGAAAACATTATGGGTAATCCTAGGGGAATAAGCAAATAATAGCAAAATATGAATATCAAAGAAAAAACAGCTTTTGTTTTATTCCAATTTACAACTGTAACAGCTTTGTAAACGTCAAGCTAGGCTTGGATTCAGGAAACCTAAAAGATTTTGTTACATGCTTGTACCTCAAAGAGCAGATTCCACTACTGAATACTACAATTCCTTATTTTTTTCAAATAAATGTTAGTATTTAATCATATACAGATACACTCAGGAAATTTTTCCAGACTGCTCAAACACAACAAATATTACACTTTTATGGCCATTTGAATTATTTATTTTTCCTAATGACAGAAACTTGCCAGTTTTGATTTTGGTACCAAGGTGCTTGAGAAGTACACAGTAGTGTCATTACCATAATAACTTCTGAAATTAAAACCTGTCTAAAACTCTGTGGAAAGCTAACATCCAGTTCATTAACCATTCCTGTTAGTTTGTTTTCAATAATGCAAAAATGATTAGAAGTTTAATTTGCTAATCACCTGTGTTTTGACTGGCAGTGGATATATAATTCTCTGCAGAAGTCTAAACTAGCCCTTGCAGAAAATAAAATATGCTAATGCTTTATCAAGTCTAATAATATGAATAAAAAAATCAATCATGCCTAGGTTAATCATTGATGGATGCACAATTAATTTCTCCTTAACTCTGTTTAATTTCAGAGGCAATGATGATCATGCGTAAGAGAAATGGCTAGCTGTCTTTGAGAAGTTTTAGTGCTTCACTTACCAATCATGTGGTTTGCAACATGAACTTGGATATCCCATTCATTGTAGAAAACCATCTGACATTTGATGCACTGGTAGGTCTTCTTCTAAAGAAACAAGGGTAGATAAAATTTACTGAAACATACAATCAGATCCATTTCATTATAACTCAAAACACTGAGTTCAAAGTGGTCATTTAAAGCTCTCCAGCAGTGTTTTCATTAAGGCTTAATTATTAATATTAAAAAAAATAACACTCTGCAGTTCTGTAGTACCTTTTATCTGAGTTTCTGACACTCTGTAGAGATTGTTTTTTCCAGTTTCCTAACTCCATGGACATACCAGTATTGCAAAAACACCAGCTTTACATTCATGGAAGGCAAAATGCAATGAGGATATGTGGGATGTGATCCGGACAGCACTGAAATCAGCATGAATCCTTCATTTTATACCAATGGATAAGGCCCACTACAGAACTGGGGAGAAGCCAAGAACAGAACACAGAAATAAGAAATCTGCTTCTCCATCATTCTCAACTGGGTTGAAGAATGTCCTTTTCACCATACATTTCAAATGATCCATCAGGTTGACATCTTTCAAAGAGGAAAAAAATTCCTGTTAGTCTGGGCAAATAGTTACTCCATCTGGGCAGTTGCTTCAGTATCTACGGGCAGGCATGTACTAAAACTGGGAAGGCTGGCTGGAAACTAGACAGAGAGAGATCCTTCTGGTCACATTAGATTGGGCCTGATTGACTTAGAACTCATGGTGTATACAGATCAAATTTCATTATAAACCAGGAGAGGCACTACTCTGCTTTCTTTGGTGCATGGGAAAAATTTTTCATTTGTGTCTTGGTGTCTTTCAAAAAAGAAGATGTGCCATTTCACTTTTCTACAAGTTATATCACTTGTCCAAGACGTTTCAACATCCAAGAATGTGATTATTTTTTTGTTTTTTTTTTTTTTTGTTACCTGAACTGGCCAGAGGTTTGATATTGGAAAGCATTGCTACAAAACTGAAAACCTAAAGAGTATATTCAAAAGTAAGACTTTGGTTTTTCATCATAAGACTTAAAATCTGCAGTTATCCAGGCATCTAATGAGACAAGTCAGATTCATAATATTATTCAACTGCATAATTGTAGTATCAAGGACTCAAGTCCTAAGGTAACAGTCCTGGAGAGCTCAGCTGTTGTTTTGAAGATGCAATAGAAGGCAAGGTAAGCCCTGAACTGCCACATCAAGGCAGTAACTCAAGAAACGCGTATCTTCCAAAGGCACCTTGCCTACATCAGCAAAAAGAAAAAAAAAAAAAAAAAAAAAAAAAAAAAAAAAAAAAAAAAAGGAAAACATATATTTTTTAAAGAATGTAAAGCCACAAAAAGCTGACACAGATGTAGTAAATTGCAGGTTTCGTACATATTAGTTGGGGAAGAAGCAGGGTTCACCAGATAATGTGCATCAAATATACAGCCTGCCTTGTATATATTTAACTTCTGAAGAGTGCTATGCAGGTGGTATTATTGATTATATTTTTAAAAAAAAAGCATTTTTTCCCAAACTCTAAGCATTATTAAAGACTTGCTGAATTTGTTATCAGCATCTAAATTTCGATGCCCTCTTCCAGACAGATAAAGTGTCTATACATTAAGTATCTTTCTACTTCAAGCCTGTAGGCAGGAATATAGAGACTTTTTAAACATACGTAATTTTGTCTTACCAAGTTAACTGAAAAATTAGTGACTAATCAAAGTTAACTCTGAAATTAAGTGTTCCTGTGGGCTCCTCTTTACAAATCTCCCATTGCTTCTCATGCACAGAGGCTATTTTAATTTTCTTGATGATAATAACAAAATGTGTCATGTTGCTTCTTGGTGGAAAAAATCATATGCCTTTTTTGCCATTTTTCATCTCAATCAACTTTACTTTTCTGAAATGTAACCAAGTTAAAACCTTACATAGACAAACAAATCAATAGGCACCCTGAAAACAAATCTGCTTTGACTTAGTTTTACAGTTACGATATGTAAAGACTACTGTTTTAAAAGATACAACACTTTTTTTTCTTTTTTGTTGCTGTGACAATACTGGTAACATCATTGTTAGAAATTCAGACTCAGTCTAAGGATTTCCCATTATGTGTTGGTAAATTTAACCTTATTGCACTACATCTACATCTATCAAAGACCTCTAAATAATGACAGACACGATCAATGATTTATTATTCTAAGCTCTTTACAAGATGCTTTTTGATGCTGACATATAGAACAACAATATTGCATAAATAACAGTCACTCTCCCTTTTTTTAAAAACATTGTTTCCCTTTAGAACTAGTTAGAAAATATTTCTTACTCCCTGATGACTGGCAGTATATATTGTTTATTAACATACCCCTAGCATTATTCCTGAAATGTGACTTTGTTCAAAAACAAAGAAACATAAACTTAATGGCTGGTCTTTTCTCTTGTTAGCACTGCATCGCAGAGTGCATGTCAAGAATTGTTGCCAAAATTATGACTGATGTACATAATGACAACACATACAAAGGCTGGGTTTTTTTCAAGTCTAATGCCAAAAATATAAAGTCGTTTGATAACAACAAAAAAATAGTAATTTACTAGCACTTACTGGCCTCTTCAAAATGATCTGACATGTTTGCAGAATCACACACAGAGGTTTTCTTTTTATCATGAAGGGAAGAATGTTTTTGTGACTGCTGCTTGATCAAACACTAGTTCTTTTTTTGTTTCCAAACATACTGTAAAATGTTGACATCAACTTTTATTAGCTCAACACACACTCATCTCAAAGGGTCTAAAGTTGTGCATACTTAATTTTTTATATTAAAAGCAAACTCACTAAATTCCATTTACTTTAGATTTTCAAATGATCAAACCCAGTCATTTTCACACCACATTGAACAAAACCCACATACTTATTTTAAGTCCTTTTTCACTGGAAGTCACATCTTATTCTCACAAGATTTGTCAGAACCACGGGACTCATAACTACTCACAAGAGCTCCTGGGTCCTGATGAGCTTCATGGCTGGTTCCAATTCCCTACCGGGGTGAGATCCAGGAGGAGACCCAGCCCCTCCTCACTCCGTGTTCCCAGAAAGGGGAAACTTGGGGGAACAAGATAGAAATGAGCCCTGGGGTGTTGCAGCTCCATGTCCCTTGCCTGGATAGCTGTGGAAGAAGCCTTGCAGCACTGGTGCAGCACAGCATGGAAGAAAAAAAGGGTTGTGACTCAAGGAGGCATTTGAATCTCTCTTAAGCATCTCCAGCCCTTTGCAATACAAGGTGGCTCCACAGAGAAAGAAGCGTGAGGCTGTGACAGCCACCCTTGCCTTGCTGCGACTGTTTGCAGTGAGGAACTCTGTCTGAGTTCCCTGCCCCCCTGCCTATGTGTCTGTGGCGCTTGTGCCTATAGAGGACTCAGCAGGACAAGAGCGGGCACCCAGGCCTTGCTGCTCCAGCTCTCAGCCCAGGACATACCAGCTCCACACAATGATGAAGGGTGGACAGCCGAGGGCACCTACACCCTAACCTGCCACCGCAGCATTTGCCAGAGGACACCTTTCAGTCTCCTGCGAGAGACAGAAACATGACAACATTCTCATTCTCTCCTCCAAACACAAAACCAAGCCAATACACAGTTCTTGTTACAAAGTAATTTCATCTCTGCAAAGGTGGACTCCAGAAGACCCTTACCAGTGCATTCCCATATGGACTCGGGCAGGACCATATGCTATCTAGAGAAGACGTACTGTGCTCTAAACTGTGCCTTACTGCAAAACTTCCAAAGATTTGTTCCAGAGCAGAGTGATACCTACGTTATCAGATGGGATTAAGAAAGTGGTTTACCTTTTTCCTTCTATTTCTCATATTATTGTGGCCTCATCTTTTCATCTCTCTTCAATAAACAAGCCCACAATCCTTCACTAAACCCCCTCCTGTCAATAACCTAAGTGCCAAATTGTTCCTATATGCTGAGCCTAAATCTGAGGCCCAAGTCATTCCTGGAGCCATTCAAAATTGTCATAGAAGAGTAACTACTTGGACCAGGTGTCTCACAAGAGCACTGGACAATCTGGTTGCCCATTGCATTCCTGTTCATTTGCATTTCTGTTTTCAGAACCAATTTAAAGCCTTAATGCAAAGCTTCTCTGCGACTACGTTTAATAAACTTTGGATTGGGCCTTCAATCCATGCAGAGCATAGGCATGTGTCTCTCTAACCTTTTGAATAATTAATGTCACCTAGACCTTTAATTATTGTCCTGATCCCCACTTGTCACTTTGCAGTTTTCAGAATTTCCTTTCTATAAAGGTTCCCATAGGGTCCATGTCATGTCAAATGAGGTTCTGAGGCTTTTGTAAATGGCCCAAGAATATGGTCTTTCAATTGGTACTTCACTTCTGTGTCCAGACTTTTAGTTGCTTTTATAAACAAAGTAAAAAAAACCAATAAACACTCTACTAGAGGATTTACAGTTCTATTCGGAAGTGCTTCAGAAGTATGCAGAAGATCCTTCTGTGTAGCCTTCTGTGCCCTGTGACTGTCTGAGGTATCTATACATTCTTTTTCTATTCCCTAGCCTCACTGTATTACTTGAAAATGAACAGCATATGCTACTTATTTGCCCATGCTCCACCTCCTTGTCAAAGTAATTCAAAATTTTATCACCTGCCTATTTTGTTCTGACATTTCCGCAGTTTTGTACTATCAAAAAATTTCATCACCTTACTACTTATTCCTTCTTCCAGACTACTGATATGCTGCATAAATTCAACAAAATTGGTGCAAATAATGATTCTTGAGGCTTTTCACCATTCACACCCCTCCAACCTAACCTGCTTCACTTCACAGGACTCCTATGCTTTCCATACCCAAATTAGTGCTTCTTTTATTTTTTAATCGAACAAAGTATCTCTCCCTATGCCATACTTGTGCAACAGATTAGGCTTTTGTGCTATACTGTTTCAAAAGCTCTGCTAAAATCCCAGTAAATCATGTTTATAGGCTTCTCTGTCAGCACTTGTGGCCACTCTCTTAAAATAAGCTTTACTGAAAATTTTAAGCATGATCCTCCCTTTG